CCCCACACAAGGAAAAAAACAACATTCCCAACTCCTGACTGTATATTTGTCCCAACAGTTTTTTGCTGGCTTTGTCTTCTGCATCCCCTACCTTGCCACCCAAGACTTTTCTTCTCTTCCTCCTCTAGTAAAAAAAAATAAACATAGAAAAGGAAACTTTCATGAAGATGGTCCATTTTGTAATTGTATTTCTTTTCTTGCCAGCAAAGTTCACAGCAAACATATTTACGTGCAAAAGCTTCCCTGGCTGGATCTGCAATGACGTCATACGTGCCAGGATTGTGGGTTTGACCTTGACCTCCTGGTGCTGCTCTTGACACCGGTGACGTCACCAGTACGTTGTTGTAACGTCCCCCGTCACCGTCTGTCTGTGTGGCGTCAGGGGTAATGATTTCCGCCATGGTTCTTCCAATCAGGACCGGGGTGTGGATGTCCTGTGACGACATCTGGACCGAATCCACGTCCACGTACGGACTTTCTTCTTGATGGCCTGTGGATGGAGAAGGGGAAACACAGCATGAGAGTGTGACTACAGGACATATGTGAGGCAGCGTGGTGGAATCAGGCTCTCGTCAATTTTTGGACATGTAGAGTTATTGATATCATCTTAAAGATTGTTCACTTGTCTTTATTTGGATGCAAAAAATATCCATTTATCTTGAAGACAAGTCGAGATATTTGCAAAGAAGGAGGTGGGGGTCACTTGTTTTCAGAGGTTAAATTGCTGAGAAAATGGTCGCCAAAGATTAATTATTTTCTTAGCTTAAGAGTCTGGGGTAACTGAAGATTTACATTTTTTATGCCTTTAATCAACGCTTTTCAGAAACATCCACTCAGAAATGAGTTCTTTAATGGGCATGGACGGTGTTGAGCCAAAAAACAAAAATTTGATAAAAATTCACAAACCTGCGGAAAAATGCAAGTTTCTTCACTTTAATTATTTTGGCGAGAGCCTGATTCCACCACGCTGCCTCACATATTGGCGCAAAGATCTTAGAATGATGCATGTTCTCCTTTCATAGTATTCTGACCACAAACGATCTTTTTGTCCCCCTCAGCCCGTGTACATGCACATTCATTCTCCCAACCCCAAGAATGTACAGAATGTTCTTTACGGCAGATTTTATGTCTGTATCTCTCAGTACCAACAACTACAACAACGGTCATATCCACAAAATCCCCTTTAACTTTATACGGGGTGCCCACTACGGCTGGGATCGGCCGATCGAGACGATCGCCCGACTCGATCGCCTAAAAAAAAGTGTTTGTTTTCAGTTTCAGGCGCTCTAGTCGGGGCGATCGGCCAGATCCAGCCGTAGTGGGCACCCTGTATTACCCACTACAACATTAACAATAATCACAACACCCATAACAACAACGATAACAACAACCACAAGAACAATAACTATAGCAAGAACAACAACCACAGCAGCATCAAAAGTCACCGAGATATTATCATTTACCAAATAACCTCCCCCCCCCCCACCTCCTACCTGCACTAGTGCTGGCCTCAGTGTGGTTCCCCGTGGCCCGCCTCGTGTCATCTTGTTGGTTCGGGTACGCCGTATCGCTGAGATGTAGGTCAGAGAACTCATAAGGGGGACCGTCTGAGTCTGGCTCTGGGATAAACAGAATCATTAATTGGCTGGTTTTGATCAAGTAAAATACCATTCAAAGACTAACATCGGGACTGTCATAATGTAAGGTTAACTGATGGGCTCAACTCAAGGCTTTGGACTAGAAATCAGTGGATGATTGGCGGGTGCTCTGCTGTTGTTGGCTTTCTGTCCTATTAAACATAATATTGTCTTTATCCCTCCTCCTTTTTTGTGTTTGTTACTCTCTTGTAACATCCCCAATTGTCGGCACTTACATGGCCTAATTGTGTTGCATGTGACGTAAAACCCGTATAAAAATAAATCAAAATTGAAAAGGATAATTCTATTTCAGGACAGACAAGATAAGTAACAAGAATGTGAGTTCGCTTTACCTGTTAGATGGTTATCGGGTGCGGAAGGGGGAG